TTTATCGGCACAATCAATTTGTTTTCCCATCAAGGTCTGTTTTACCATGTGTAGGGACATCCAAATGTGTAAGGCTATTGGAAACCAAAAAATAAAGGAATGGGATAGCTATAATTGGATAAATTCGGCATATGAAAACACCAAAATCAATGATTTTTTTTCAGTGGCTGTGTGACCTTGTGTCTGACACATTCATATGCAAATGACTAATCTGTGAGACAAACAGGGGCGGAGACAAACCACTCAAATGTTTGGAAACACTCATTGTGTGTCAGATAGCTACTGATAACACATCCTAACATTGCTTTGTCTTGAGTTTATCTTTGAAACTTATAGGCACACAGATTAAACCTGTGTTGTTGATTTTGGAAAACACTACTGAGGCTGCCTTGCTTCCCTTCAGAAAATCTATATTTTAACCAACTTACATGACATTCTATGTTATATTTACTTTATCATATGAAAGTTTATGGTGCATTTCATCAATTAATAAATAAATGTGAAAATCGTAATTTTCAACACAAATAATAGTCTCGCTACCTTAAAACAGGCTTCAATAGTGTCCTCTGTGTACCTACTGTTCATAGACTTGTTATGGGTGTCGGGGTTGGCGGGGCAGATGAACATAATTATTGTCACACAACACCTTTCATTTTCTAACGACTCGGTCGTTCAGTCTTGAAATGCATATTCCCAAATGACCATTCGATACTACTATTAAATCATTTGCAATCAGGTAAAAATGTAAATACAATTAGGAAAAAATTAATTGACAAATTTTGAGGGCTAGAACAAGAATGAAAGTGTGGCGTTTTCTTTTTTGTTTTTTTTCTTACATTTGTTTTTATTTTCAATTCATGTGTTTATTCATAACCTTGAATTGTGAAACACTTTCATTATGTAATTTTCATTTATTTGGGTTAGTTATTTATATGTAGCTAGTCTGGCAATCATGTCATTTCGCTAATCCGATATGAAATTTTTTTTTGTGTGTGTGTGAAAGTGTAGCGTTAATGAAAATATTTTCAAGTCAGCGATGTCAAGTCTTCTGTGTCTGTTTTGAATTCATTTACAACATTTGTCATCTTTGAAAAAAATCCTTTGCTCTCACCCTTCCAAACGTTTCAAATGGTTCGCTTCGCCTGTAGCTATTGAATATTGATGACATGTCTCTAAATAAAGCCTACACGTAAGAGAACATATTTCAACTGATAAATGGCCACTTGTAGGTACACCTTTCAGCTCTACTTGAAATTCTTCATTTTTGAACCAAAATGTCAACTGTACACGCAAGGTGTATTATTGAAAAATACTCTCATAAAACAGTATGGGCCAAGCAACACTCTGGAATAATGACTTGAGAATAATTAATTAATGTTCATAAAAAAAAAAGTTATTTCTACCTGCCCACCCAACTTTTGTTTTAAATGTTACCAGAAATACACATGTCTGACATGCCCATGTCGATTGGCCAAAACAATTGACATCACAGTATGCTAGCCTATAGCATGCACTCTATCATGGTGGTGTCTGCTCCAAGTTTTAATAATCATAAATCTCACTTTGCAGATATAAACCATGTATGGTGGAGGTGTTGGCAAACAAGAGAATTCTAAATTCCCATTTCTTTGGGATTTGACCACTCCCGAATTAGAGAGGATTCTCAGTAACGAAGATGCTTTGAATGATTTGGTCAAAAACAATGAAGAAGTACGTATTTGTCGTTACACGAACTCGGTGACTATTTTTGTCCTGGCTTTATTAATTTGTCAGGGTTCAATAGGGGTCCCACACTATGTGTACAACACAAGCAAAATACATTTTATTCACACAAATTCTGTAATGAACAACACTTGAAGTTTGAAAACACAATATATTTCAATGTGGGGTACATCAGTGTATATTTAGCCAGAGAATTGTATTGCTGTCAATACTCTTCCCCCCACCCTCATTAATTGTCATCCCAGTGGTTTATTTCTATTAAACGACAGTTGAGGTCATGCTATCATTTATTTTATCACAGGCTCATTTCAAACATTGCATGACCAACTAAACAAATAAATAGGAGGTGTTCCATTATCATTGATACATCGCAATTTTTGTTGGCCAACATTTTAATATAACGTGGAAAATTATAGTCAACTGACAGCTAAAATTCTTTTTTGTGTAATTTCAGTGTTGAGTTGCATGTCACTTCAAAGTTCATCAAGCTCTTACAATCTATTCATATTTTTCTACTTCAGGTGAGGTCCGTGCAATTGCAGCGAGAGACGTTACTAGCGACAAATCGCAGTCTAGCGGAGCACAACTTGTCAAGAGAACCAAGACTACGAAGCGGTAAAGGACGACTAGCTAGTTTGTACACTCAGTCAACGAAACTACGAAGTCAGTACGAGAGAGATAAACAACAACTTGGTGAGTGAGGAATGTGGAAATGTAGTGTAAATTGATATTAACATTCCAAATGATGCTTATTGCTTATTGGATTGTAGATACTAACAAGGGAGACTTTATTTCAACCAAATTGATTTTCAAGACCATTTCATTGATTTACTAATAAGGCCATTATTATAAGTGTTGTTTACTGACATAAATAGGCTCAAATATCAGAGAATATCATATTAAAAATAAATGGGAGGGTCAATATAACAGAGAGTAAGCAGAGAGTATTGATGAATGGAGTAGTGGAAATCAGTGATCAGGAATTGCACAACCTTTCTTATTATTACTGTTTATGAAACGAACATATAACTGATAAAAGCATGGTACACTAAACCTGATTTTGGTTTATATGTGCTGTTATCAGGGATGTGCTTCTAATAGAGCAAATATGGTATGTGATAATACATGTAGCTTGCATATTTGAATATCATGAGGCACTGTGTCAAATGTCCCTGCTATGAAATATCTAAGTACATTCATTATCAAAACTTGTTTTCTTCTCCGTACATTTATACACAGACGCTATGGCCTCACAGAATTCTCTGGATACCATCCTTGTTATGTTAAGATCAGCTGCTGGCAGTTGTGAAGATGATGCTGAAGTAAGTGCAAACAAGACAAGCCGGTAGGCTGGTTGGCGATCCGCTCCGCTCAGAAACAAGCAATATGTTTTTGGCTGTTTCCATGGTGACATAAACGTGAAGCTAACGTCGGTTTATAACTAAAACGAAGTTCGCAAACACCATTCAGTCTTTAGAAGTCACTTAGTTTATTACTAGGACCACAGTCACAGTCAGACGTATTCTGCTGTTACATTTATTATTTCCAACCGTTTTGCGATAGCATTTTCTAGAATGAAACATTTCCTGTAAATGCGGGGAAGCGAAATAATGAAATAACGAAATGGTAAATATTTACCTAAAGTACAGTTTGTTGACCTTCACAATCATATACTTCATAATACAAAACACTAGTCACGGTGAGTTATTTAAACATACGACTCATAATCGGAAAATATGACCACAGTCCAGAATTTCAGACGGATATTAAGCAACCTAAGAGCATATCAGAAGCATTTATTCTAAAATATAAAAAAGAACTGCAGTCAAAAGTCAAGAATGCCAGCAAATAAAGGACTCTGTCCCACAATCCTTTGTGCGCGTTATTACGGACACGCGCAAAAAACTGTATCACGCTTGACAAATCTGGGTCAAATATACAGTACGCTACTATTTTGCCACAGATTGTTTAGTAATGGAGTGTTCGGTGACCATTGAATTAGCCCGTGATTCATATTCTATGTGTATTAATTTATTCATCAATTTTCGTGACTGACAGTACTGCCCAAATTTTAGTCAAAAAAACGCATTTGGTGAAACGGAAGAGCATCGCCAGGCGATGGACGCGGGGCTCTTTGGCAACGACCGCATAGAGGTCAAAATACGCGTTCTATTTTTACGCGTTAAATTTGGCTCTTCGGTTTCGCCCCCTCCGGAATGTTCTACTTTCGCAGCCTAATCGCAGGTTTTTCGAAAAACGTCGAAAAAACACAAGAATTAGTGGAAATGTTCCTGTTTTGGGCGGATTATTGATAGAGAATAATGTCTTTATTACAAAAATGCTGAAAAACCGTGAGTTGTTGCCTTAGTTATTTTTTTATTGGCGAAAACTGCGAACTCGGCAAATTTGGTTGCACAACTTCCCTTTATCATATACACCCAGCACACAGATGCCAGCTGTCTGTGTACAAACTGGTAGAGTA